CATAATTGATATAATTACTCGGAAGTAGCTTTAGAAGTAAAAAATTGAAGATGCTTTAAATGCAAATTCATTGAGGATAATAATATAGACGTGTGTGTTCCGATCCACTACTTAAAGGAACTACTATTGAGGTTCGATTCAAGTTCAACAAAACGCTTTATAGACAAGGAGATGGAGTGACAATCGGGTCATCACTGAGCCCTTCACTTGTAGACTGCTTCTTAGCAAGTTTGGAGAATAGTATGTTGCGGCCTACTATCGAAAGTTTCCATTTGTATCAAAAATACATAGATGAAACTTTCATAATAGGTGACGAGAATACCGACAGCGAAATGATAACTAAAGAGTTCAACAGTTGCTATCATGCAATCAAAATGACATCGAAATTCCATTTTTTGGATGTTTTTCTAAAGAGGAGATCTGATGGTTCTCTTCAAAGATCGATCTACAGGAAAGCAACATGAAATGGTCATAACACGAATCTTCATAGCTGAGTGCCCTTGAGAAGAAGGAGAAATCTGTTCCATTCCTTATCTTCAAGAATAAAAGGGATTTATTCCAATGTTACAATTGACGTAGCACTGGAGCGACTCAGACAGGTCCTCATAGAGAATGGATACCCTCCAAGATTTATCGAGAAAAACATGGGGTTAAAAGTAAAGCCTGAAAGAACCCAGACGGTGCCGACGAAACTGCTACTTATGAGGGTTGAGTTCGAAGGTGATACCTCAGCTGAGGTCCAGAAAAATCGCTTATGCAGATCACTGAGGAAAGCCTTCTTTACGGCTGAGCTACGTATCAATTTCTACAGCCGACAAGTGATCAATGGATGTGTGAAGGATAAACTGCCGCTTTGGACTGGGCACTTCAATGTGTGTTTATAAATTCCCTGTTCGTGTGGAGCTAGTTATATTGGCCTCACAAAGCGCACACTCTTCAAACGCATCTCTGAACATTATCCGACATGGTTAGCAAAGGGAAAGTGTAAGACAACTTCTAGCTCAATTCCCGAGCATTTAGTGAACTCAACCAGAGTCGTCTCTCAAGATCACCTACAAGATGAGGCCAAATGGTATAAAGGGCGTCAGGTTTCGGTTTCTGTGTATGGCGGAGGTGCTTGCGATTCGTCAATTAAACCGAACTCTGTTTGCCCAGTCTCTTATTCTATCTTGGTCTTAATCTCTTCACTAGTCCTTCCCTGTATAAAAGCTTTTAGTTTTTTAATTTTACTTTTAGTTTTACTTTTACTTTAATAATTAATTCACTATTATCACTCTCATGTGTTCGTTTTGTACATTTTCACACCCTCGTCACACTTGTTCAACTAAAATTAAACTGCCTGCATTCTCACTCAATAGCATTTTAACCTTATCAAATTTCTGAGACTTTCTTCCTTTGTTCAGTTGAGTACTACGTAATTTACAACCTTTATTTTTCCCTCTAAAGCCATTTTCGAGTAATTATATCAATTATGTCACCCCCACCCTATTACTCAGTGTTATGTACTCGTCGTCAATTTATTGTTATGTACTGGTCGAGAATTTAATAGTCCTGGCGCGAGAAAGACGGAAATCAGAAGACCACTAGGTTTGCGATGATACTTCTATTTCCAAACACAAGGAGAATGCAAAAAGTGGTATCACACCAAAAATAAGTGGACACACAAGATTGTGTGAGCGAAATATATATGAATGTCCAGACAAGTGTGTGAACAAATCAATAGACAGTCTTAACATGAATGGCTAATTAAAATGGAGTGTCGATCCATATATACATAGCAAAATATAGCAGACATGTCAACAACCACACATATAATATGGATATCTGTCACCAAGCAACGGACTGTCAACAAACACTCATATTATATATAATATAAGGGGAATATACATTGTTAAAGGAGACAGGTTCATCAAAGTGAAATGGTCACAGACTAAGCGAGCAACAGAAAGAGAGATCACCATACACACACATATATATATGTGGATACATATCACCTCCCCTTTTGAGAAGATTGATGATTAGTAGGATGTTTTCCTGGGGGTTTATCTGGAACCTTTGAGCTTGTTGTTGACGTCTGTCATTTCGTCTGCCTGTTGGGTTTGCGGCTTCGGCTTCGTCCGGAATTGTCTGACATTTTATGCTTCTTGACTGCATTGCATAGAGAATTTAGTGGGACATCAGCCAGATGCAAACGATCGAACCAATCAAGTCCCAAAAGATTTAAATCACTCTTAGTGATGTAGCAAATTCCTGTGAATTTGGTATTGCGGAAGGAAACAGAACATTTGAGTTCACCAATTAGTTTGAGCCGCCCACCACAGGCGCTGAGAAGAGTCTGGGAAGTATTTCCGATTGGTGGTCTTCCAATATTATTCCAAAGTTTCTCTGATATAACAGTAATATCAGAAGCGGTATCTAGCTGCAGACGTGTATCGTGACCATTCATCTGAAGATCAAGATATTTCCGCATACCTGGTGTTGTGACTTGACAGGTTGCGAGTAGACTCAATGATCTCCTTGGAGATTTAGGACCAACAGTTTGTCGAGCTTTTGCTGGATTATGATATCTGGTTTTGCGTGGCTGAAAAAACCATTTTTATGACCGATGATCTTGCACTTGCTGCAACGATGATTTTTGTATGTGCAAGACTTTACAAAGTGCCACCGCCACAATGCCAGCATGGTGATGGTGGGGTCTTCTTTGCAGTATTTTGTGAAGTTGGACGAGTACGTGTAGATTTCCGCGGAACATTAGAAGAAGGTGGGTCAGAAGTGGATGATGAGAGATTTTTGCTCTTTCGTATTGCATGAATATCAGAGCTTCTCGAAGGTGTTGATTCGACCAGGTGTGTGTCTTTCTGCAGATTAATCAGCCGTTGATATTCATCAGCTATGTCATGTAATGTTAACTTAGGATTTTGTTCTAGCTGGTTGAGCAGTCGAGTTCGGATATCTGTGAAACGAGGAGATTGAAGACTGCATATGAGAATCAAGGCTTTGAATTGATCATCTGTTAAGGACCTGAGTCGAAATCTCTCACATTCTCGGTTGACTGTGCCAACGTGAGTAAGAAAATCATCATTTTTATTCATTGCCAGCTTGAGGCAACGATAACGTATACTGAATAATGAGGAGTGGTCTCCAAAATGTTCACGCAGCAGCTTTATTGTATCATCGAAACACTTGTCACGTGGTTTTTGGGGTAAAATTAGGTTGCAGTACCGTTCATATTCTGCCGGACCCAATTTACGCAATAACACTCGCACCTTCCAAGCATCGTCTTGTGAGGCGAGATCAACTGTGAATAAATCCTCATAACGTTGATACCATGTGTCAAAAGTGACATTAGCCTCTGGGTCATAATTGAACTGTGAAATACTGTTCACAATTCCGTCGACAGATGGTAGCACGGTATGATTCGGATTGGTTGGAGGTGAAGTTGGACCAGTCTGTTGGTTGACGAACATTTCCATTAATTTCATTTGTCGTTCAAATAGTAATTCCAATTTATAAGGATCCATAGTTTTCCCCGTCGCCAATTTGTTATGTTGCTGCTGCTGAGTGGTTAATAGTAGTTTTCCCCGTCGCCAAATTGTTATGTACTCGTCGTCAATTTATTGTTATGTACTGGTCGAGAATTTAATAGTCCTGACGCGAGAAAGACGGAAATCAGAAGACCACTAGGTTTGCGATGATACTTCTATTTCCAAACACAAGGAGAATGCAAAAAGTGGTATCACACCAAAGTGTCACACAAGACTCAGTAACGGACTATTATTCATTTTCGGTAAATATAAATACGACTGTACAGCTTCTGAAGATGATTTCGTCGATAGGGAAAATTTTCTTCACTGAATTTGTCTTTTATTCCCAACAAAGTGAAAGGAAAATTCTCTCAGCAACAATCATGCAGCAAATACTTGCCACAAACAGTTTCAGGTCACACTATGTAATGACCAACCTTGATTTCATTCAAACAGAAGTACAAGCTTATAAAAACGCACTATCAACACTCCCACACAGTCACAAAGGGTAAGAATTAAAATTAGGGATTAAATGGGAACAAAGTCAACGGGTAATAATGCAAACACCAGAACACTGAATGATATTGAGCCCGGGAGAAGTGAGGATAGTAATTACAAAGTTAGCTGAAATATCCAAATAATTATCAATATTGTGGATAGACCGTTCAGCAAGGATTTTCTAAACAATTACTTCGTTACAATGTTAGCCTTCACATAACAGGTATAACTTATCAGCTACATGACTAGCCTTCATACTTGGGATGCAATATCCGAAGATTAACCTTAGTCAACTATGCCGACGACTTTCTTTTCTATGATTATTTCACAATGAATAAAACAAAATACATCACCATCATCAACAACAGAAGACAAGACACGGAAGGTACACTTTTCGTTAATCAAACCTCTGTTCATATCTATACAGTTCATATTCGCTAACCAATCACTGAGGGTGTGATTTCGGTTTACAGCAAACGAAATGAAATAGAGTGTTCAAATATACATAGTATTCTCTTGTTAATGCAGTATATAACTGTGCGAAATGTATTCTGTCTGCAACATCAAATAGAATGTTCAAATAGATATATCGTATTCTCTTGCTAATGCCAAACTGAACCGTGGGAATATGTGAGAATAATATTCCGTTGGCACAAGTTGTCTGTATCACACCACCACACTTGTCCTCCCATCAAAACTTTCGACTGAAGTTGGTTTAATCATCTTGGTGCTGTCTGCTTTGTTAGCTCGTCTTGATGTATCGAGTTCCAAAGCTTGCTGACGTTCACCCTCTCCTCTTTGTTTGCATTTCTGATCGTCTATACGTCACCCCGTCTCACCGTGACCATGTATGGTCCTTCCCATTTTGGGAGAAGTTTTCATGACCTTGGCTCGTGTCCACCAGTGTTTCACCTCACACCATTATATGCTACCGTCGTCCAACTTCCCAGCAGCGTTTCAAGTAACAGCCTCATCGCTGACGGTTCTTGAACGCCACTCAACTGCACAACTGCCTCAAAGTCCTACCTGATGATCCATTTGTCTCCATCAAATACTGTAGGGCACAGGATTTCCATTTGTCGGAAGGCAGCGACTCTAAATGTAACAACAGAAGACAAGACATGAAAGCTAAGGTCGATATTTCATTAATCAACCGCTGTTCATATATCCACAGTTTATATTAGTTAACCAATCACTGAGTGTGTGATTTCGGTTTACATCAAACAACATGAAATAAAATGTTCAAATATACATAGTATCCGGTTGCTAATGTCGAACTGAACTGTGGGAATATGTGAGAATCATATTCCGTCGGCAGACATTGTCTATATCACACCACCTTCATACTACTTTTCCTCTTGAGTATAATCATACAAAGCGGGTGACATCAAACAAAACTAACTAACCGGCACGTATTTTGTGTTATTACTACCAACTACTTGGTGGATACTATCCAGGGGCTTTGAAGTAATCCTACATCTAAATGATAAATTTGAGCAGTTATTCTTTCAAGCGACAACCACAACAACAACAAAGCAGTGAACTGACGTCCCTTAATTACCGCTGATTCATTCGGGAACAAAAGTTTTATTATCGACGAAGTATGAACCAAAAAAAAAATAAAAGAATAAACTCTAGGAATTCAATCTTGAGTAGATAACCGCTGAAGATATCTGTGTAGTTGAAAAAACACTGACTGCTGTTTGCAATATTTTCAAACGAAATGTAAGACGGTAATTTTATGAATAATACGTTGAATAAGAAACTGATTTGTCGGTAGATTAATAACGTGACATTGAATTCTTTTTTTCTAATTATTCTTTAAAGGTTAATCCTCCATTAACGTCAAAATGGTAGACAGATAAATGATTAAGTTGTATTGTATTCATAGGCATAGAAGAGTCGTACTGACTACGCATCAGTCCCTATTCAGCATTCTTTTCAGCTAAAACGTTTTCCTGAATTCAACAGATTTTATTATCATTATTATTACGCATTTGGATAGTAGGGCAAATTGATACAAATTATTTGTAGTAAGACAGTCAAACTTTAACAAATTACTTATAAGTAACAGAGAGAGTTCAGCTGTTTATTTGATAATGAATATTCTCCTCAAGGCTTGGCTAAATCACTTAGTATGCAGTAAATCTACCACAATGGGTTTTAGTAGCACATTTGTAGTGTGCAACAATAAAAGTCATGCTTACCACCTACTCAAATTAGTCAACGACACACATACAAATATTGAATTCATTATGAAACATGAAATTAATGATCGAAGGTTCCATTTCCTTGACATTATCATGCAACACCTAGAAGACGGTAGTCTCAAGAAGTCAATTTACCGAAAGCCTACATGGAACAGACAATACTTACATTTTAATAGTTTTTTTCTCCAAACAGCTATAAACGAGCACTAGTCAAGACTCTGTACTATAGAGCGAGGAGAATATGCTCTGCAGAGAAACTAGAGGAACAATTTACGATTCTCGAAAAGATGTTGAAAAACAACGGTTATACTCAAAGATTCATTAACAAATATGGAAGATGTGAAGGCTCAAAAATCAAATAAATCACAGCGGGAAAAAGCCTGTCTTCATTCACCTAGATTTTAAGGGTGAAAACATTGCAGCAATGGGCAATAGAAGACTGAGTGCGTCACTAGCCAGAGCCTATCCTCCAGCTAAGTTGGTTCCCATCCATCGAACAACATGCTCTTTGTTTCAGTAAAAAGTCGACAGACTCCCATTTCATGTTAACTGCAACTGTATATACAAATTTACGTGTATCTGAGGGAGCAGTTACCTAGGGAGAACAGAAAGAATGGCACACTTTCAATTTTCTGAACACGTAGTAAAAAGCCTATATCTAGAGGTATCAACTGCTTTCAACAGTGCCATTACCAAGCATCTTCTTGACATGGGTCATGGGATGGACGTTACAAGATCGTCCAAAGTTATCGAGAGACAAAGGAGCTCAATTCTCCTCAAGTTTGCCGAAGCGATTCTCATCAAATGTTTGAAACCAGATTTATGTATTCAGAAAGAAGCAGTTATTAGTCTTTCCTTGCCCTGGTAACTATGTGTCTTTATTGTCTCTTTCATTTGACTACGTAATCTTTAACTTTGACCTCACCCCTTATACATAGTGTAATTTTTACATAGTATAATCTCTGAGAAGAACATTCTTTGCAGCAACGCTAAGAATAGTGTTCTCCAGTCGCCCACTGATCTGCAGAAGCCTCAAGGACAAGATCCCGCATCTGACCACTTCTATGTGCATATATCAGTTCACCTGCTGCTCCGAAGCCAGGTACATCGGTCGTTCGACGCGCACCCTGTCCAAGAGGATTCAAGAACACTATCCAACATGGTTGCGAAAAGGCAATAGTGGTGCAATAAGGAGTGCGATAATTGAACACCTGGTTAACACTGACTATTCCATTTCAACAGATGCCTCCTGCTTCAAAGTAATCTACAGAATCAAGAATAACCTATCAAAGGCAACACGGTTTCGTCTTCTTTGTATCGCTGAAGCTCTGGCCATTCGCATAGAAAAACCGGAGCTGTGCATACAAAAGAGGATTACTCAACCACTTGTACTGTCATGGTAACAACCTTTTTTTGTTTTGATTTCATTTGAGTTTTTTTTTATTTTGATGACTTAATTTTGTTTCATATTAGTTTGTTTATTAGATATATCACACAGTGAAACAGTATTATTTACTGGCTGACTTTTCGAACAAAATTTATTATTCATAATTATATCAATTGTAATCACACTGTTTCACTGTGTGATATATCTAATAAACAAACTAATATGGAATTACTTACTACCACAGTGCCCAAGTTTTACACATATATTAATTTTGTTTCTTTGTTTGTTCTTTAATTGCTTAGAATTCTTGTATTCATTCAGAACTCTTATGTAATTTCGTATTATCTACTTTGTTTCTAATGTGTATCCTGAGTAAAACTCAATCATCAAACTATTCATATTATTATTACATAACTTCTTTTAAGAATTGTTTGTGACAACTCGTCGCCTTTGTGACTACCCTAATTTGATTAACACCTAATTTTCGCGACTTGTATTAACAATCTTCATCTATTTAGTTAAAATAACCATAACCAATTGTAATTTTGTTTGACAAACTTAATGTCTTCAGTATGGAAAAAAGGCGAGGAGCTGTCGATGAAAGCCTGCAATAGCCTGTTGGAAATTCTTCACATGAAGTTGGCAGCAAGTCTCTGAATCATGTAGAAGCACTGGCTGACCCGACTATAGTGTCGAAAATCTGGATCGTGTTCCTTATTCTGAGTGCAATAGACTTACAAAAACATACCCACAACAATAAGCACCAATCAATATCCACAGAATTCATTTAAAACACGTCGCTTCCTTCACTTATCTTGGCAGCATTCTGCCAACTACAGCTAGTAAGCATGGATAAAGATGTCAAAAGTGGTTAGAATTGGAAAGGCAAGGCAGGCCTTCACCACTCTGTAATCAGTTACGAAATTTACTGCACTCGGGATAGAGAGAAAAATTTAGATTTTCAACACTAATGTTACGTCAGTCAGTTCTTCTATATGGGCCAGAAACCTGTAATACGCGTCATGGTAAACATTTCCAACAAGCCACTGAAGACTTTTATCAACATCTACATTCTCTGGAACCATACTGTAGATGAAATGACCAGTCAAAAAGAATTAGCAGCAAGGAACTCTAGGAACTAACCAATCCACGTCCTGTTGCTCAACAAATTTTCTGAAGAAAATAGAGATTGATTGAGCACACTATGAGGAGACTGTTGAATGACATCGAACATTAGTTCATTGACCGATTGGAACCTAAATGAGAAAGCACAAGCTGAGCATACGTACGAAGGTGATAAGAAGGAGATCATGTGAGAAAGACATGAAAGTTTATGGCCAATCGTAAGGCCAACTGACGACGACTGTAGAGAACAAGACAAAACAGAGACGCGCTGCTGAAGCTCAATGTCCCACTAGGAATAAAAATAACCACAGTGATAGTGCTAAGTATTTTTACGTCTTTTCATATTGGGTTTACTGATATCTCTTGGTATATATATATATGTCGCGAGTTACTAGAAGTTGGAATAGAAGTGTCATTGAGTTATTTTCTAGTGGCTGAGTGGTCTACAAGTAACCCAAAGGTCCTGTGTTCGAACTCCACTAGGTGTGTACCGCTAAAGGGCCCCGAACCAGGAAGAAGTAGATGTCCATTACTCAAAGGTTTAAAAATGTTTCTCCAACTGATCTCAAATAGTGATCAAACCAGTAAATAATCAAATCCCTGCTAACCAACACTTGATCAATTACATTTACCAAGGGAAAGCAAAATTGACAACAGTTTCATAGTGGATGCATAAATTTAGTTTTAACCACACATCTTAGTTTAATCCAAGAAAACTGAGACTGAAAGATGCCAAAGTGCTTTGTGGTACTATTGTAACAACAGAAGACAAGGGCCGGCAACAGATCATTTTATTACGGAAATCAACACGTATTTATATATATTTCCTGTACATTATTATAGCTGATTCAAGTAGACAAACGCAGTCTTCTGATTGGTCGTTTCTCGGAAGTTAAGTACACAAAGCAGGCTTCTGATTGGTTGTTTCTGGTTTCTCGGAAAGTGAGGCCATCTATCTTCGAATCATATTTGCCCACGTTAAGTCTGCTGTGATTGGTTGTTGAATCAGCCTTGCTCATATTTTCTCACGGCTAATATTAGTGACCTAGACATTGACGTAGATTAATGTTTACCAATTGGCTAGCAGCCTGCTCTCACCACACTCGTCCCCCGTCAAATAGCTTCGTGCGCAGACGTTCCGACCTTCTGGGTGCTACATCCCCTAGTTGAGGATTGTTACTGCCCGGCTTGTCCCACTGTACCCATCGTTGGAGCTGACTGGCGTTAACTCGTTACTGTTTATCACCTCTTCGGATGGTATATACTTGACCCCGTCTTTTTGTGATTGTGTACGGTCCTTCCCACTTTGGAAGGAGTTTCCGTGAACCTGGCCCGCATCCAACTGTATATCCTCTGTCTCCACACTTCACTTG